TATGTGCTGCCTACAAGAGAGCCACCACAGGACAAAAGAACAGACTGAAAGTGAAAGGCTGGAAAAAATATTCCAAGCAAATGGATGTAAAAAAAACGATGGAGTAGCAATACTTATATCAGACAAAATAGATTTCAAAACAAAGGCCATTAAAAAAACAACGAAGGACACTACATAATGCGTAAGGGAATAATTCATCAAGAAGATATAACCCTTGTAAACATATACACACCCAACATGGAAGCACCTAAATATATAAGGAAAACCTTGGAGGACTTCAAGAAAAATATCAACAGAAACACACTCATAAGAGGGGATTTTAACACCCCATTGTCAACAATAGATAGATCTATGCAAAGAATCAACAAGGATATTGTGGACTGAACAACAGTCTAGATCAAATGGGCTTGATTGATGTATACAGACCTATCACCCCAAAGAAGCAAAATATACTTTTCAAATGTACATGGAACATTTTCAAAGATAGTCCACATGATAGGACACAAAACAAGCCTCAACAAATTCAGGAAAACTGAAATCATAACAAGCATTTTCTCAGATCACAGTGGCTTGAAACTAGAAACCAACCTCAAGGAAAAAACTCAAAAACATTCAAATTCATGGAGACTGACTCACACACTATGACAATGAATGGGTTAAAAATGAGATCAAGGAAGAAATCACAAAGTGTCTGGAAGCAAATGTAAATGAACACAAAACAGCCCAAAACCTATGGGACACAGTGAAGGCAGTCCTGAGATGAAAGTTCATAGCAACATGCCTACCTAAAAAAGACAGATAATTTTCAAATAAACAACCCAACCCTACCTCTACAAGAACTAGAGGAACAAAAACAAACAAAGCCCAGAATGAGTAGAAGGAAGGAAATAATCAAGATCAGAGCAGAATTAAATGACAGAGAGGCTAAAAGAACAATTCAAAGGATCAATAAATCCAGGATCTGGTTCTTTGAAAAGATAAACAAAATTGTCAAGCCTTTAGGCAGACTCATCAAGAAAAAAAGGGAGGGTAACCAAATAAATAAAATCAGAAATGAAAGAGGTGAAATTACAATTGATACCATAGAAATACAAAGGATTGTAAGAAATTACTATGAACAACTATATGCCAAGAAATTTGAAAACATGGGTGAAATGTGCAAATTTCTAAAAAAATATAATCTTCCAAAACTGAATCAAGAAGAATCAGAAAGCCTGAACAGGCCAATAACAGCAGGTGAAACTGAGGCAGCAATAAAAATACTCCTGGCACACAAAAGCCTGGGACTAGATGGTTTCAAAGGAGGATTTTACAAAACATTTAAGGAATAGCTAACCCCTTGTCTTTCTCAGACTATTCAAAAAAATCCAAGAAGAAAGGAGACTCCTAAACTCTTTTTTTGAGGCAAACATCATCCTAATCCCAAAACCAGATAAAGACACAACAAAGAAAGAAAACTATAGGTCAATATTGCTGATAAACATAGACACTAAAATCCTCAACAAAATATTGGCAAACTGCATCCAGCAATACATAAAACAGATCATCCATAATGATTAAGTGGGATTCATCCCAGGGATGAAAGGATGGTACAATATTCACAAGTCAATAAACATAATACATAACATAAACAAAAGGAAAGACAAGAATCACATGACCGTATCAATAGATGCAGAAAAAGCATTTGATAAGGTACAGCACCCATTTATAATAAAAGCACTCAGCAAAGTGGGAGTAAAGGGGGCATACCTCCATATAATAAAGGCCATATATGGAACTACAGCCAGCATACTCAATGAGCAAAAACTAAAAGCTTTATCACTAAGATCAGGAACAAGACAGAGATGTTTGTTTTCACCACTTTTATTCAACATAGTACTGGAAGTCCTAGCCACAGTGATCAGACATGAAAAAGAAAAGGCATCCAAATTTGAAAGGAGGAGGTAAAACCGTCAGTGTTCGCAGATGACATGATTGTGTACATAGAAAACCTTATACTCTACCAAAAAACTACTCAACCTAATAAGTGAATTTGGCAAAACAGCGGGATAAAAAGTCAATATTCAGAAATCAAAGCCATTTTTGTATACCAACAATGAAATATCAGAATATGAAATCAGGAAAAAATTCCCATTTGCTATAGCAACAAGAAAAAAATAAAGTATGTAGGAACAAACCTAACCAAGGAGGTAAAAGACCTGTACTCAGAAAACTACACAACACTGAAGAAAGAAGTTAAGGAAGACACAAATAAATGGGACCATATACTGTGTTCATGGATTGAAGAATTATCATCATCAAAATATCCATACTACCCAAAATGATTTATAGACTCACTGTAATCACTATTAAAACACCAATGGCATATTTCACAGATATAGAACATTTCAAAAATTTACATAGAACCATAAACATCCCTGAATATCTGCAGCAATTTTGAGAACGAACAAAGTAGGAGGGATCACAATATCTGACATCAAACTATATTACGAGGCCACTGTAATCGAAACAGTCTAGTACTGGCATAAAAACAGACACATAGATCAATGGAACAGAATAGAGAGCCCAGAAGTAAACCCATGTCTCTATGGTCAACTAATATTCGACAAAGGGGGAGAAGCATAAAATGGAGTAAAAATAGTCTCTTCAACAAATGGTGTTGGGAGAGCTGGAGAGCTATATGCAAAAAAATGAAATTCAACCACCAACTTATACCATACACAAAAATAAACTCAAGATGGATAAAAGAGTTAAACATGTCATGACACCATAAAAGTCCTAGAGGAGAACATAGGCAGGAAACTCTCAGATATTCCACACAGCAATATTTTCACGGATATGTCCCCTAGAACAAGGGACATAAAGGAAAGAACAAATAAATGGGACTTCATCAAAATAACAAGCTTCTGCATGGCTAAAGAAAACATCAGCAAAATGAAAAGGTAGCCAAATGTATGGGAAAATGTATTTGCCAATGATACCTTGGACAAGGGTTTGATATCCAAAATATATAAAGAACTCACATGACTCCACTCCAGGAAGACAAAAAATCAAATTAAAAAATGGGCAAAGGATCTGAAAAGACACTTCTACAGGGAGGACATACAGAGAGCCCAGAGACATATGAAAGGATGCTCAGCATCACTAGCCATCAGGGAGATGCAAATTAAAACCACAATGAGATACCATTTCACACCAGTCAGAATGGCCATCATAAACAAATCAACAAACAAGTGCTGGCAAGGTTGTGGAGAAAAGGGAATCCTAGTACACTGTTGGTGGAAATGCAGACTGGTGTAGCCACTGTGGAAAATAGTTTAGAATTTCCTCAAAAAGCTTAAAATGGATTTGCCTTTTGACCCAGTAATTCCACTGCTGAGATTATACGCTAAGAATCCCGAAACACCAATTCAAAAGAACCTCTGCACCCCAATGTTGATAACAGCACAATTTACAATAACCAAGTATTGGAAGCAACCTCAGTGTTCATCAATAAATGAGTGGATCAAAAAACTATGGTACATTTACAGAATGGAATATTACACAGCAGAAAGAAAGAGTTACTGCCCTTCACAACAGCATGGATGGAACTGGAGAGCATTATGCTAAGTGAGATAAGGCAGGCGGTGAAAGGTGATCTCACCTGTAAGTGGAACCTAATCAACAAAACAAACAAGCAAACCAGCAACATTGAAATAAACAAACTGACAGTACTCAGAGGGGAGAAGGGAGGTGGGTGATAAGAGGAAAAGAAGGGGAAGCATCATCAAGGAACATATATAAAGGACCCATGGACAAAGCCAAAGTGGGGAAGGATTGAGGGTGGGGCAGAGGAAAATGGTGGCAGGAGATGGAGACAACTGTGCTTGAAGAATAATAAAAAAAATTAAAAAATAATAAAGTGCATATATATTTTTAAATATTTAACTAAAAAAATCTTTATTGAGCCCCTTCATATATCTGTCACAAATCCTGATTCAAATGACCTTATCAATTAATTCATAACAGGATGAAAACAGTTCAAAATCACACAAGGATAAATAAGGTAAAGGCTACTGGACAGAACAAAACAAGGTGTTTTTCTAATTCAAACAGGTAAAAAATAACTTGAGGCCTTTATCAGCAACCCGGCAGATAATTTCTTAAAATCAGAAGATGTGAACTTCTGAAAGCTAGTGAGTTCTGAACCCATGGAATTGCAGATAATAATATGATAGGAATATTGCAATTCCATCTCATGCTTTGAAAGTCACCTGGCTCATCATGGACACTAGAACTACTAAAATGTCTTGAAAGGAACATTGCTATAAATACAAGTAACCTTTTATTTATTTTAAATGTTTATTTTAGGTTATGAATTGCACTATTTCTAACACCCTTACATTCAGTTCTTTATACATGTATATGAGAAGTTAGTAATTCTAAAATACTACTGTAAAATGTTTTAAATGTAAAATGAACCTTAATTTTGCTATACATAATTTTATAGTAGGCACTTATATTTTTGTCCTTTAAAAGTTTGGTTATTATTTGTTTATCAAAGTAATATATGCAAATAACTTAAAAACCAGTCATTACAAGGCTTATAATGGAACAAAGCTCTCTCCTGCCGTACCCCTTCACATTCCCAGTTTCTGCTCCCAGAAGAAATCACTCACAACTACTTTAGTGGTTTCTACAGATATAATTTGAAGTGATATGCTTATACTATTACTTCTAGATTTTTCACAATTGGACATTGTCTGTTGATTATCTACTGTAAAGGATGGGGATTTAGCCCAATTATTCACTCTCTGTCATCTTCCCTCCTACAAACAACTGGAACAAAGTCCCCATACTTGAAAATTTACATTCTGTTGTGAAAAGGTGAAACATAGACAAGTAGCTAATTAATTAAATAATTTTATAAAGTAACCATGTGAAAAAAATAAAGAAGAACAAGAGAAAAAGAATGTGTCCCTCTCCTCCATTCACCCAATATTTAAAAAAAAATTTTTTCCTTGTGTTTGTCACATACATATCCACTTTCTGTTTTGCTAAGAAAGAGGTATTTAATCAGGTAACAATTCCTTTCCCACAGAGGAATGCCACAGCTGCCACCACCAGAACAGTATTTTTTACTATTTTTGATTATTTCATCGGTATAACTGGATAAATATTACTTAGCACTGATTTATAACTTATACCATAATTAACTTTCATTTATTGTACAAGTATTTATTTTCCCTGAGTCTGATATTACCTAATTTTTCCATTTGTTTAGTTTTCATGTGCTAAGAACTAATTAATTCCTAACCTGCCAGGACCACAAAACTTCTCTCAATCTAGTCAAACACTATGCTAATCTCTCAGTTTTTCTTCCTTCTTCTGTTCTTCCTCTCTCATCATCCCTTTGAGACCTCTGTCTTCTTGCTCCAGTCCTGTCTGGTGGCTTTCCGGGTCTGCAGCACAGTTGTCACCTGAGGCCTCCCTTTCTCATATTCCCAGATTTCCTGCTGACTCTCTACTTAATGAACTCCTTTCCTTGATGAACTACATCTTCCTCTTTCTTTAGTCCCCCAGGAGCTTCTTGAGAAAGGCTGCATAGGGAGTAAAGTTTTGCAATCTTGCATGCATTATTAAAAATGTTTTAATTCTACTCTCACCCTTGATGGAGAGCCTGCATGTAGAACTCTAGGTTGAAAATTATTTTCCCTCAGAAACTTGAAAGCATTACTCCATTGTCTTCTGGTTTTTGGTAGTGCTATTGAGAATTCTTATGCCATTCTTGTTCCCAGTACTTGGTATGTGACCTACTTTTTCTCCTGGGAAGACTGAGGGTTCTAAAACTTCAAGATAATTCAGCATTTGCAAGATCTTTTATTTCTGGAGAGGCAGGGATGTGTGATTAGGAATATGGATTCTAGAACCAGACTGCTAGATCTGTCTATTTAACTAGCATTACCTCAATTACTTTGTGACTCTGATGCCTATAAAAGGAGGATAGCATAGTACTAGTATAGTATCCACATCATATGGTCTTGGGAGGTTAGCAGTAATACTTAAATGTTTAGAACATAACTGCAAACATTGGTTATTACTATTATTTATTTATTGTACTGGACATTTAGTAGACTCAATTAGCAAACAAATTTTCAGAGCTGGGACATCTGTTTGTATTATTTCTTTGTTAATTTTTCTCTCCTTCATTTTTTCCATATTTTATTTCTGGAATCTTTGTTATGAATAAAATTTCCTCACTCTTATGTTTTAATCCAACTGCTGTCATATTTTAAATATCCAATAGTTTTGTCTTATTTTTAATTTTTTCTTTTTAAGTATATTTTATTGATTATGCTATTACAGTTGTCCCATTTTTTTCTCCCCTTTATTCCCCTCCTCCCTGCACCCCCCTCCCACCAGCATTATCCCCACTTAGTGCACGTCCATGGGTCATACATATACATTTTTTGACTTCTCCATTTCCTACATTATTCTAAACCTCCCCCTGTCTATTTTGTACCTACTACTTATGCTGCTTATTCCCTGTACCTTTTCCCCCATTCTCCCCCTCCCCTCTGATCTCCCTTTCTTTGATTCTGTTCCTGTTCTAGTTGTTTGCTTAGTTTGTTTTGGTTTCTGTTTTTCTTAGGTTCAGTTGTTGAGAGTTGTAAGTTTGTTGTCATTTTACTGTTCATAGTTTTTGATCTTCTTTTTCTTAGATAAGTCCCTTTAACATTTCATATAATATGGGCTTGGGGATGATGAACCGCTTTAATTTTACCTTATCTGGGAAACACTTTGTCTGCCCTTCCATTCTAAATGATAGCTTTGCTGGATAGAGTGACCTTGGATGTAGATCCTTGTCTTTCATGACTTTGAATACTTCTTGCCAACTCCTTCTTGCCTGCAAGGTTTCTTTTGAGAAATCAGCTGATAGTCTTATGGGAACTCCTTTGTAGGTAACTGTCTCCTTTTCTCTTGCTGCTTTTAGGATTCTCTCCTTATCTTTAATCTTGGGTAATGTAATTATGATGTGCCTTGGTATGTGCTTCCTTGGCTCCAACTTCTTTGGGACTCTCTGAGCTTCCTGGATCTCCTGGAGGTCTATTTCCTTGGCCAGATTGGGGAAGTTTGCCTTCATTATTTTTCAAATAAGTTTTCAATTTCTTGCTCTTCCTCTTCTCCTTCTGGCACCCCTATGATTTGGATGTTGGAACGTTTAAAGTTGTCTCAGAGGTTCCTCAGTCTCTCCCCATTTTTTTGAATTGTTTCTTCATTCTGTTCTGGTTGAACGTTTATTTCTTCCTTCTGCTCCAAATCAGTTGATCTGAGTCCCGGTTTCCTTCCACCAGAGAGAGCCTCTAATATAATAGGGGAAAAAAGTATAGGAAAACTTCATAATAAAAACAAACCTGGTAACACATATTCTCAGAAAGAAATATGGCCCAAATGAAAGAACAGATCAAAACTCCAGAAAAAATACAACTAAGCAATGAAGAGATAGTGAACCTATCAGATGCACAGTTCAAAACACTGGTAATCAGGGTGCTTACAGAAGTGCTTGAGTATAGTTGCAAAATAGAGGAAAAAGTGAAGGCTATGTAAGGTGAAATAAAGAAAAATACATAGGGAACCAAAAGTGAAGGGAAGGAGAGTTCTCCACTCCTCCTACCAGTCTGGATGAATGTTTCTTCTTCAACTCTTTGGCTGTAGGAGTTTCTTACAGTTTGATTTTCTGGCAATTCTGGTAGTTTTTTGTTTTTAAATTTGTTGTTGTCCTTCTTTTGGTTGTATGAGGAGACAAAGTGTGTCTACCTACGTGTCTATCTTGGTCTAAAGTCCTTTTGTCTTATATGTTAAGGGGGGGCGTGTGTGTGTATACATATACATACACAAATACATACATGCATAAACTTTTTTTTAATAGATGCAATATTTTCTCCTTTGTGAGAGTATGTGTTACCAGGTTTATTTTTATTATGTAATTTTTGTATGCTTTTTTTTTTCTATTATATTAGACGCTCCTCTCTGGTGATTTTTGGCTGTCTATTCATACCTCAAAGTGAGGCTTTTAAGTTCCAGGAGTTGCAAACTGGTGAGCTCTGCTTGGGGAGACTGAGTCAGGATAGGAACCCTGACAGAGACAGATGGGCCCTTGTAAATGTTAGTTTCTGTAGATCTTTGATTTGGAGCTCGTCAGTTATTTCTAGTCTCTTGCCTGACCTGGCTACCGGTGCTTGGGGAACTGAGCTGTGGCAGGGGTTTTTCATGCAGTCTCCCACACAATCCCCTTGTGTTTAGCATGGTATCTCCTGGTCCAACCTCTCTACCCTGTGTAGGTTAGGGCCTATAGCTTATACAATTTGGGGAGCCCTTTTTGAGACAAATAAATAAAATTATGAAGCAAAATTAAATACAGGTCCTTGGAAGGGACCTGTGCAAGTGAGAGGCCTGAGGCCTAGGCTTCATTAGTTTCACAGTAAACCTGACTCTCCATTCTACATACCTTCATCCAGGTGCTAGAGGGGCGTGCCTGACTCCACTGGCTGAACAGGGCCTCGAGAGCATCTAACTACTGCTTATAGACTTTCAATTAATTCTTTTCTTTTTGGCTGCACCACACACCCTGGTTCCTAAGTGATAACCAGCATCCTCAGATCCTGAACTTTTACAGTATTTATAGTTCAACTAGTGCATTTCTCATTGGGGCATCTCTCGCTGCAGCCAGTTAGGCTTCAGCTTTCTTACTGAGCTTCTTTTACCACTCATTCGTCTATTTTATATTGTCTAAAGTTCTGTGCATATCACTTAGTTACTATTACTACACACTTGGTTCTCTTTGTGATAGTGGGTTTATTCCTTTTTTATTGCTTTGCTGACTTTTATGTGGGATTTTAGGAAATTATAAAAACAAACAACCAAACTCAATTTGCCATGTGTAATTGGAAACCTCATTCTATCCTTCAATAGTTTTTTTTTTGGGGGGGAGGGGTGGTCATGAAGATTTTATTAAGCAAGACACAAAATCCAAAAACCACTGAGGAAACGAATGAGAGATATGACCAAGAAAAACAAAACCAAACCTTGGTCAGGTTTTTGTTTTTTAACCATTTTTAATTCATGAAAGGCACCATAAACAAGCCAAAGATCAGGAGACAATATCTGCCACACCTATAACAGAAGAATATTAAGGTCATAATATTTAAAGAGTTCATATAAATCAATGAGAAAAAGACAACTAACAGAAGAGGCAAAATCAAGTCCCAGAAAAGAAACTTATGACCAATAAATAATGAAAAGATGATAAATCTCCTTAATAATTATAAGAATGTAAATGAAAACATTCCATTTTTCACTAGTTTGATTGGCAAAAGTCAAAACATAGATCATATCTGGCATTGGTGATGTAGGGAATCCTTAGCTTTATGTTTGCCATTAATTCTACTATTTTATTATAATTCAAATGAATTCATTATAAAACAAAACACTTTTTGTGCTACATATTTGAAAAATAAACACTTCATTGTTCACATAGTCTGGTTTTATTTGTTTGAGCCAATAATTTGGTCTAAAAATCGGGTGTTCTCCCATATTAAATCAAGCTAGAATTATTCTGTGAAGGTAAATATACCAGAAAATGTCTACAATTTTTAAAAACAAAATTATAAAATTATGCATATTAATAAAGAAGTTTTACTTTTTAATTATTAAAAATAATTTTAATTATTTTATTATTTATTAAAATAAGTTTAATTAATTTTAATAATTTTAATTATTAAAAAATTTTAACTATTATGTTACTTTTTTTAATTATTAAAGATACCAGGGGGACATTGGTTAATAAGACCATATAAGTTTCAAGTGCAGAATTTTATGATGATACATGATCTGTATATTGCACTGTGTGTTCATCACCCAAAGTCAAATTATCTTCTGTAACCATGTATTTGACACTCTTTACCCTTTACTACCTCCATACCTGCCTTCCTTCTGGTAACCATACTGTTGTCTGTGTCTATGAGTTTCTGTTTGTTTTTCTTATTTATCCATTTGTTGCTTTCAGTTTTATATCCCACATATGAGAGAAAACATATAGTTCTTAGCTTTTTCTGTCTAATTTATTTCACTTAGCATGATAGTCTCGACATCC